GGGGGAGGGGTTAAACTCCCGGTGTGTATCCCCGGTGACCCCCGGGGCTTTCCGTGTGCCCCCCGTCCTCTCTGTGTCTCTCCCGCCGCCCACCCGCGCGGCCCGGCCCACACATTCCCCTCACGTGGGCGCCGCCATCTTGCGGGCCATCTTGCAAAGGGTATCGGGATATACCGGGGCATAACTGCCGCAAAGTCTGCTGGGATATAACGAGGCTGAAACTGCCGCAAAGGCTGCCGGGATTTATCGAGGCCATAGCGACGCAAAGACTGCCGGGATACACCGAGGCCTTAATGACGTCAAGAATGCCGGGATATACTAAGGCTATTATTACCGCAAAGGCTGCCGGGACATAGCGAGATGGAAATCGTCTGTGCTCCCCGCGTTCCTCCAGCTTCAGGCAGAGCTGGGACGGGGGGAACACCCCCCCACTCGGTGATGATGCCCCCCCGTGATCAGGTCGTGCGGCGTGACGTCTAACGCCGGGTTCCACACGTCCACCTCTGCCCGAGGGGTGCGGGGGGGGTACATGTGGTCAGGGGGGCACAACCCCAACCCCATCAGGGAACCCCAAACCCATCGGGGAACCCCAAACTCTGCACATCAGCCCTCTGTGAGACCCCTGGGACCCCCCTGAGAGCACCCCCAGACCCACTGGGACCCTCAAGAAAGCACCAAGACCCCTCTGAGATCAGAGCCCCCAAGTCTCCAGCCCCTCTCCCTCAGCCTTCCTTCCTCACCCCCAAGGAAGGCACAGAAGGAATCAAACTGCCCTGGACAGCAGTGTGGTGCTTTATTCAAGCCCTTTCCACATCTCCCCCAAAAGGGACTCTGCTGGAACAAGAATGGAGGGCAGCCCCCAGAAGTTCCTCCCCAGCCCCGCAGTCACAGCAGAGAGGCAGAAAGAGGGAGGGGCAGCAGAGAGGACACAGGAAGAAAAGTAAGAAAGGGACGCAGAATGAAGTTGAAAAAAACAACCAAAAACCAAACAACAACAAAACCTGGGATGGGCAGCATAACAGAGAGGGATTAAAAAAGGACGGGGACAGCGAACGGCACACAAGGATCCAGTAGAGAAGCAATGGCACACAGGAGCACCAGAGAGCCACCAAGAATAAAAAAGGAATCACCAAAAAACTCCAGAAAAAAAAAAACCAAAAAGCCCCCAAAACTAGAACACACCCCCCCAAACAAAAACAAAACAAAACAAAAAAACAAACAAACAAAAAAAACAAACAAACAAAAGAAAAAACCACCAAAATCAAAAAACAAAGAAAACCAGACTGGGATGGGCAGCATTACAGAGAGGGATTAAAAAAGGGTGGGGACAGGGAATGGTTCACAAGCATCCAGTGAGAAAGAATAGCATGGAAATCCCCACACAGAATAAAAGCGGAAAAGGACTGGACTATGGAGGACAGAGGAAAAGGCAGAGGCTCTGACCTACCTTGGGAGGTCTTAATGTCCATAGCTCTGTGGGGTTATATAAAACAATTGAGTTGTAATATGTAAATGTAAAAATACTTGGGGAGGAGATTTTTCTTTTAAAACCAAATAACTGTCATTTTCACACAGCTGCTGTGGCTATGGTAACCTTTGCTGGGAGCAAAAGGAGGTGATGCCAGTGAGGAAGAGGCCTTAGGAGCTGCTGCAGAGGGAAGTACTGCTTATTCTGATCCTTGACACACCCTTGACTTCACTCTGCACTGTGCCTTTCCTTCAGACAGAGTCCATGCAATCTAGGTTCAATAGTATTTAGCTTGTGCTGCCTCTTGGACACTGAAAGGAGTTTGCAGCCTTTAGCTGTCAGCGGCCTATTTTGGGATGGGGCTGTTAAATCCAGTATTTCCAAGAACTTTTTCAGTGTGTCTTCAGTGTATCTATCTTGACTTCCGCGTTTCCACAAGAGACACCTGCTGAAGTTTGTTGTATGAGTGAAGGATCCTTCCTACAGAGGCTTTGCTGCATTGCACGTTTAGTTAGTGTCTCCACTCTGGAGGGAACCTTCATTTAGAGCCAGTTACTGCCTTTCTTAGAAGAATTGTGACATTGTCAAAAACTGAGCTTACCCTTAGAAGCACAGCATGACTGACAAGACTATCTGTGGAGCATGTGCCATCTCCAGAGAGGATTCAGTGACAGTTACTTGGGTTGTAGGAAGACAGCTGGTGACAGCTGGCAACTTTTTCCTTTTATCATCAAGGCTGTCAATGCTGCTGTTCTTCCTTTAGTTCTGTTTTTATGCATGTCAGTTCCACAGCTGTGCTGATGAAGTGCTGAGGAGGAATTCACTCGTTGTTTCATTCTCTTCCCATTAATGGGTCTACCTGGCATAGATGAGAGGAGAGTTTGGTTGGGGTTTCTTCATCTTTTCTTCTTCCCTCCCCTAGCCCTTCCCCAACCCTTTTGTAATTTGATTGATTAGAGGTAATTCTTCAACTCAGTCTTCACTCCTGAAGTGAGTCATGCTTACTGGGGAAAGCTGCAAGTAATAAATGCACGTTGCATTCAGCTGTCAGGAATAGTTTCCAATCTGTCCATCTGTGGCACAAAATTAGAAAGCGGTCCTTCCAGCATGCAACTCTGCCCTGCATTTCCCCCAACCAAGTTATTCAGTACATAAGTTGTCCATTTTGGCATCTTATCTTCTTCCCAGCCAACAAAATACATGTGAAAAAGTAACTGCCTGCAGGCCATAAAAGTGTAGCTGCAAGTAACGATCAAAAGCTGATCTTCCTAGTCTTTTCACAGCTTTCTTGCCAAACTCTTTGGCTCCACTGGGTCTCAGTTCTCTATGGGAGAAGGAGCCTATTAAAAGCCACAGTGACACACTAGCTAACAAGGGCAGAATAGCCTTTCCTACCCTCAGCCACAGGTTTTGTTAACCCCTCCGAGATGCAACTAGCATTACCGCATTTTATGTGCTCCTGCCGTAAGGCAGCCCCTTCTAGGTCATAAATCACTGTGTCATCACAGAACAACCTTGCTGGCCCTGTTATTGTTATTAGGTCTGGAAAGATGAGTTACTGACCTTTACCGAGCGCTATTTCTGTTGACTGCTAAAAACCTTCAGAGAAAAATTGTGCGTTCCTTAGTTGTGTGAGCCAGGCTCTTTAACTGCCTGTGAGCTTTCTGAATCTTGGCAAATCTTCAAAGATCTCTCAAAGGAGAGCCTAGTTTACTCTGCATGTACTCTAAAGAAAGGTAAGCTTCAGGTCCTGACTACTGGTACTAAGTACTACTGGTTAATCCCATTGACGGAGCTTCTGGTTTGCACACAGCATGAAAGCAAGCTCCAATGTAGAAAGAGGCATACTGCTGTTGCCTGTGACTGTTGGTGTGGGCAGCCTCGTGCTGCTCTATGCTGTAAAGAAGCTCATTAGGAATGCAGTAGCAGGGTGGGAACCCAGTCATTGTATATTCCACAGGTTTCAGGATAATGCTTGTCAAATGCCTGCTATTCTGCTGTGCATCTCAAT